ACTGACGGAGACCCGGATGCTCCAGACATCCCGACCCCGCGCTCTTACGCTGAGGCGATCGGGGGTGAGTACTCCTCTCAGTGGCAGTCAGCCATGGCCGTAGAGATGGGGTTGTCACAGGGTTACACCTTCAGCCTTGGTTCCGGCTCTGTTTCGTGGCGGGCTACTCGCTCGTCTTCTGTTCTCGGCTCCAGTTGTGAGGCCGAGATCTACGCCGGGGCCATGGCTGCACAGGAGCTTCGCTGGCTCACCTACCTGCTAACTGACCTTGGAGAGCCGCCTCGTTCTCCTCCAGTCCTGTACGTAGACAACAAGGCCATGCTGGCCTTGTGTCGAGAGCAGAGACTGGAGCACAGAACAAAGCACATTGCTCTTCGCTACTTCCTTGCTCGTGAGCTACAGCAGCGTGGTCAGTTGCGGCTTGCGTACGTGACCTCTGAGGCCAACACTGCTGATGTCTTCACCAAGGCACTTGCGCCTTGTGATCATCAGCGCTTCTGCACGCAGCTGGGTCTTGTGTCTATCTTTCCTCACTTGCTCACCTCTTGACCTTGCTTGTACTGCTGCATATATATACACCTGCTCCTGCTTGTTTAGTCGTTTATATATATGTACTCCTGCGTGTGAAATTGCCTTGTGGCCTTGACCTTGTGCTCAGAATGTGTGGTGACTTTGTGATCCACCCTGAGCTTGCTTTGCTTTGCTTTGCTTGACTAGTCTTTTGACCCCTTATTCTCCCCCACTTCGCCTATGGGGGTGTGTCAGAACATATAGCTTGTGCTTATTGTGTAGGCTATAGTGGGGTAGCCCATAAGGGGTACAACCCAATTAGGGTTAGTACTTGTACTCAGTTCATTCATTGTGCGATGACGTGCCGACAGTGCAGACGGGCGGAGGGTTCACATGCAGCCCTCGCAGGAAGTCTAAGCCTGTTCGCGCGGCAGCGTCGTTAGGTGACTCGTCAGCAGCTTCTCCTACATCGTCGTCTTCACTCTGCGCCATAGTTGCTGGTGTGTATAAAGAGAAACGGCTACCTCGGTTGGAAAGGAGTGGTCTCTCGTTACCAAATGTGAGACCACAACCCTGAGGGAGACCCCAGTCCCTAGCGCATGGGTTTCCTATCGTGCTGGCAAACGAGGTTCACAACCACCCACAGTCCAGCAAGGAACGCGTGTCAGAATGTTATAATTATCTAGCCTGTAGTGGGATGCTCTATAGCGAGTACAACCCTGTTAGGGTTTGCTATATGTATCCCAACTGCTGCTAGTGAAACCCTCTCTCTTCTTTCATTCCTCATTCTCCACATGCTATCAGAACATCTACGGTCCTGGCCTGTGGGCCCACCTAACTGCTTCCGCTGCTACTCTGTGCTCTGCACGCCCCGTGGCGTGCCCCTCGCGCGACCCTTAGTGGCCCTGTCGCCACCCCTCGCGGCCCCGTCGCCGCCCTTCTCGGCCCCTCGCGGCCCCTTCGCGGCCCTGTTGCCGCCCCTTTTAGGCCCCTCGCGGCCCCTTCGCGGCCCGTTGCCGCCCTTCCGGCCCCCTCGCGGCCCCTTCGCGGCCCCGTCGCCGCCCCTATCGGCCCCGTCGCCGCCGTCAACGGCCCCGTCGCCGACCTCTCAGGCCCCTTCGCGGCCCCTTCGCGGCCCCGTCGCCGCCCCTATCGGCCCCGTCGCCGCCGCCAGCGGCCCCGTCGCCGACCCTAGCGGCCCCGTCGCCGCCTCTATCGGCCCCATCGCCGCCGCCAGCGGCCCCGTCGCCGACCCTAGCGGCCCCGTCGCCGCCCCTATCGGCCCCGTCGCCGCCTCCAGCGGCCCCGTCGCCGCCACTTGCGGCCCTGTCGCCGCCCCTTTCGGCCCTTCCTCGACCCTGCCCCGGCCCCGCCCCGGCCATGCTCCGTCGCCTGGCGCGGCGCACCGGGGGCACGTGCACCGCCCCCCCCCCCCCCCCTTTTCCCGTCGCCCGTCGCGGCTCCCTCGGGGGCCGACCTGGGGGACGGGGGCGAGCGTCGCCCCTTCTACCGCCTGCTTTGGCGCCCTGGGAGGCCGCGCGTCGCCCCCCCCCCCCCCCCCCCCCTAACCTCCCTACCCACCGTCCCGCCCTGCCCTGTGTTAGGGTTTGGGGGTGGCGAGTAGGGGGTGGCGGGTGTGTGGTCTCCCCTGCTCCTCCTCCTCCTCTGTCTCCCACTGCTGCAGCTGCCGCTGAGGGGGGTGGGTGTGTGGGAGTCGACGGAGTGTTAATAGGGGGTGGGGGGTGAGTGAACCTAGGGTGCAGTAGGGGGTGTGTGAAAAGGGGGGTGACGTGGGAGTGAAGCTAGGGGTGCAGCAAGGAGTGTGTGAAAGGGGGGGTGGGACAGTTGGGGGAGGTTGAACGGAGGCTATCGTCGTGTCGTCAACAGCACCAGTAGTCCGGGGCACTGCTCCGGTAGCCCAGTCGTAGCCAGCTGCGCCAGTCGCCCGTGGGTCCGTTGCTCCTGCCGCTCGTCTATAGCCGCGGAGCCAGATACTCCAGTAGTCCGGGGCGCTGTTCCGGTAGCCGCTGTGCCAGTGTGACTCCTGTTGCCCGTGTGTCTGCAGCTTCAGCCGTCGTCTCCTATCTCCTCTCCTCTTACAGTCTCGCCTCCTCCTCCTCACGTGCCCTTTGTGAATGCCTCTAGCTTTGGTTGTCCTTGTGAAGTCCTGCTCTATACCTGCTTGCTGATTGTGCTGATTACACCCCACTTTGGCTATGGGGGTGTGTCAGAATGTTATAATTATCTAGCCTGTAGTGGGGTGCTCTATAGCGAGTACAACCCTGTTAGGGTTTGCTATATGTATCCCAACTGCTGCTAGTGAAACCTCCCTCTCTTCTTCATTCTTCGTTTTTTAACAACGCGGTGCCCAGTGGGCTAGTGGGCACCGACTTTCCGCTGCACTGAGCCAGGTTTCCTACTAACCCGGTCATGTCGTCATGTCAGACAAACAGACCGAGTTGAGTCGGCGGCGTTGTCTACACTGCGGCTGTATTTCTGGCCAATCGTGGCCCACTTTGTGCCAGCATATGTATTGTCGAGGCTGAAATTCCGGCTTTGACTGTTGGGACTCGGGATTCCGAGATTATGGGAAAGGGGGGGTGGGGAAAGTTGGGGGGGGGGGGGGGTGTGGTACTCGCTTCAGGGTAAAACTCGTTATGACGAACGGCAACCCTGAGGCATCAGTGTGCCTTAAATGTAAACCCTGTCACATCAGGGAAATCCAAGCTCCCAAAAACAATACGCTAAGCCATCAGTGTTACTACGGTACCAAAAACCACCCTGATAATCAGGGTATCAGGGTGATTTACACTGATAAAATTAGCCCTGATACACAATCAATCCTATTACGGTACCAGCTTCACCCCCACATGCTAGTTTAAGGGGCCACCCTTGCAACGTTCCCAGCATTGCGTTCCCCTTAGGCAGCTTCTGCTGCCTTCACAGTCAATGTTATGGCAAATCCTCCACACATCCCCAACACAGCCCTCTGCATTACACTCCAGCACTGTATACGGTATCTGTATATGGCTTTCTTTGCAAGAATTTCAACCTTCCCAGCTCTGCTTCAACCGCTGGCAGCTCACATGGACTTCACAATCAGGGCCCAAAATTGGTTTAGGCCTACCCTTACGAATCAGGGTACCAGCCCCTCCTTAGCCAGACCCCTAGGGTAAATTTTTTCATACCCTGTTTTCAGCAGGGTAAATCTACCACTAGCCTGAGTTGAGCAGGGTAGTTTTAGGCTAAGCCTGTTTTTGTATCAAATTTGTATCTATTTTGGCAGCCTCGACAGGGCCGTTTCTTCCACCGGGCGGGCCGTGTTATGGCCAGCAAGGCAAGCCAGCACTGAGGCTGCAAGTTGTTGTTAAGGACAGCTTGAAGCTGTCCTTGACAACCAATTCTGCTGTGATGGCGGTGGGCGTGGCGATAAGTGACGTGGTTCAATAATCGTTGGCGTGCTGCCAAGTACGAAGCAAGTTTCCATGCGCGTGGGCACGAGCGACAACGGGTGTTTGTGGGGGTGTTGTACGTGTTTGTCACCACGCGAACTATTGTCTGATTCGCGTTAGAAAAGATTCGGTAACAGGGTAGTGTACACCAAACCCTGATTCCGCCAGGGTAAGCTAAAAACCTAGCAGGGTAAAATAAAACATGCTCTTTTAAGAGAAGGGTAACTTTTGCGCAATCCTGATTTAGGCAGGGTAATCCTGAAAAAGCGGCCGGCCCCCAGGGTAATCAGGGTGTTTTACCCTGATATTTTGGGCCCTGTTCACAATCATCCTGACAACGTACCCTGTCTCACACCCGCACAGTCGGCTTCGACGGCTTGCTCCCCCACCATTTCAGACTTTGCTTCCCTCCTTGGCAGCACGCATGGCTTTCATAATCACCCCCACAGCATACCCAGTCTCACCCACCATCTGCCTTCGAGCCACCTGCCTACAGATTGCTTCAAAAACCACCTGCCCCATCACTCCCTGATCTGCTTCCCTCCTTGGCAGCTCGCACGGCTTTCATGGTCGCCCTCACAGCATACCCTGTCTCTCCCGCCATCTGCCTGCAAGCCACCAGCCTACAGCTTGCTTTGAGACTCAGCCACCTTGCCATTCTACTTGGCAGCTGGCATTGCCTTCATAGTCTCCCTCACACCATACCCCGTCTCCCCCACCATCTGCCTCTGTCCCCACACCGTATACCCTGTCACTCCCACCATCGCCAACAGTTTGCTTCGAGACCCAGCTCTCCCACCCTTCCTTGCTTCGCTATTCACCTTGGTAGAACACATGGCTTTCATCGTCATTCTCACCGCATACCCTGTCTCTCCAGCCATCTGCCTGTGTCCCCACCCCACACCCTACAGCTTGCTTCGAGACCCAGTTTTCCCACCTCTTCCGGCCTTGCTATTCCCCTTGGCAGCTCGCACGGCCTTCATCGTCACCCTCACAGCATACCCTGACTCTCCCGCCATCTGCCTGCGAGCCAGCTGCCTACAGCTTGCTTCGAGACCCAGCTGCCTTGCCATTCCCCTTGGCAGCTCGCATGGCCTTCATGGTCTCCCTCACACCATACCCCATCTCCCCTGCCATCTGCCTCTGCCCCCACACCGCACACCCTGTCACTTTCACCATCGCCTACAGTTTGCTTCGAGACCCGCCTCTCCCACCGTTCTTTGCTTCGCTATTCCCCTTGGCAGCTCGCATGGCCTTCATGGTCTCCCTCACAGCATACCCTGTCTCCCCTGCCATCTGTCTCCGAGCCAGCTGCCGCAGCTCCTCCGCCACTACCGCCTCCATGTCAGGCTGTCGTGGCGCTGAGTCACCCAGTGGCTGGCGCAGCATGCGCTTGAAGATGGGGAGGGACTGTTGGACGAGAGCCTGCTGCTGGATGTCGGAGAGAATCGCCAGCACGTCTGCAGGGGGGCATGTAAGAAAGACAAACACGGGCACAGACAACAAAAAGGAGGCATTTCGCTGAGTTGAGTCAATGTCGGTGGCTGGCGCAGCATGCGCTTCAAGATTGGGAGGGACGCTTGGAAGAAGCCTGTTGCTAGGATAGGATGTCAGGAGGCGTGTAAGGAGAGCACGGGCACAGGCAACAGAACGGAGGGACAGTGAGACAAGAAATGCAAAAGGGGGGAGTGCGGTAGAGAGGAGGGGGAGGGAGGAGAGAGACGTTATTAGAATTAAGCAGACTTCAGAAACAATCCCTGCAGTTTTTGGATTTCCACGATTGGTTCAAAAAGAGAGCATTTCTTGATACACGCTGTCATTAGCTGAAGCGTGTGCCATCCCTTATAATAACTTACCACTCTGAAGGGTCGCATCTGGGAACACTCTCGAAACAAGACCGTTTCTGCACGCCTCGTCCGCAGTGAGCACCCGCGACGTCAGCAGGAGATCGTTCGCCAGGGGTCGACCAAGCAGCTGCGGGAGAGTGACGGACGAGCCAAACTCGGGAACGAGCGCGATGCGGAGAAACGGCACCCAGAACGTGGCGGAATCCGCGGCGAATACGAGGTCGCAGTGCGGAAGGAGCGTCACGCCGATCCCGATGGCGGGCCCGTTGACTGCTGCGACCAGGATCTTGGAGAATCGCAGCACGCCGCGCATGAACTGGCCCACAGGGCTGGCGAACGGGTCGAAATCCGCGGGGAGATCGACGGTGGAGCTGGCTTGTGGTGTGGATCTAACGGTTGGAACTGAGCTTCCTTCCGGTTGTCCTGATGATCCAACGGCTGCTGTTGATTCCTGGGATCGTTTCAGGGCCTCGAGTCTCTCGACGGTCTGCATGAACTCGAGCATGTCTGTCCCGCTGCAGAAGTACTCGCCAGCACCCGTTATAAGCAGAATCGATACTGTGTCATTGGCGTCTGCGTCGGCTAGAGCGCGTGCGAGCTCGAGGTATGTTGCGTTGTTGATGGCGTTGAGGTTTCGGAGACGGTTGATGGTTACGGTTACCACTGCTCCTTGTTGGCTTACCAACAGGTTATTGTAACGGGAACCGTCCATCTTGTAACGGGGACGTACGAACAATGCTCACTACACACAATTCTCACTACACACAATGCTCACAATGCGCGAATGATCCTGTGGAGTGGGAGAAGACTCTGAACTGTCAGGGAAGAAAGGCGTCCGTTCTTGGAACCGCGGAAGAGGCTCTTTCCTGATTGCTGTTGGATAAGCGATTCGGCGACAACGCGAACTGGAGTCGCAGACATAACGGAAAACTAAATAAGCACATGGACGGCTGTCAAAGCAGTAAGGTAATGTGATGTGACGGAAGAGTCTAATTAGAGGTGGTGCGACCTATGTAAAACATAAACTATCAGCTGATTGGTGAACATTCAAGGCCGCATTGTTCGGAACTGTTTCTATGAGGCGGATATGGCATCCTACTAGCCATGCCACATAGCGTGTGGTACCCCAGCCTACGTGGAATCACAGCTAGGTGCGTTGGCAGACAAATGACTCGTTTGGAAGCAGCTTCGCATAATAAGGTTGTTATGGTCGCGTATTGGGGCTCTTTTCTTGTAATGCAAAAGCAAAATTGACCCAATGAAAAGCCCTTTACAAAGAGTATGGAATATAATGAGCCCCAAAAGAGGGGCACTCCTGCTAAGGGTAGTGTCTCTCATCAGAGACAGTATTTAAAAACATGTGATATAGGCTCATATCGTTGAGCGTTACGCCCATTGTCAGATTTGCATTGCAGTGAGCAGGAGCCTGAAACAGAACACTAAACGCAAACGCGTTTTTCAGCAGCGAAGAGTCGACGACCTAATCTCTAGGCCGCAGTTTGCCCATCACTCTCCTTTGTGATAGGGTTTCGTTTCATCTCAGCTAATCAACCGCGAGCGCCTTGGATCCGAAACGCCACCTGGTTGGGGTGGGGGACCCAAACGCGCTGCCGTCGCAAGTTTAGATGTCGCGAGGCCGGCCGAATTTTCGCGCAACCCGTGGGCACGGGCAACAACAAAAGCAGTCCTCGCTCCCATCCTTCCTGCATCCCCACTACCAGCCAAGCCCTTGCCTTCTGCTGGGACCCAAAACTCGCCTTTTTCACGCAGCCCCTGTCGGCATTCGGGCAGCAAGAAAAGCATTCCTCGCTCGTTTGCAGGCCGTGTTGCGTCCGCCCCACCGGCACAGCCCCTTCATCGGGATGGGGTGAAGGGAAACCCCTCTGAGCGTACTGTACTGCTCGTGCGGGTGCGCTGCGCTGCCACTCCTTGCCTCTCCTCGCCCCCTCCCCTCCTCTCCGCCTGGCCAGTCAACAAACTATTTTTGACAATGACAGCCTTGGCATTGTGCAATGCTGCACTGGACAGCTTTCAATACAAAGCATCTCAGTTAGTGCCACTGCTGCAAAGCATTGTTCCAGTTGAGTCCCCGAGCCGACCCACACGCTGGTCTGCACATTTGCCAGCTCACACTACTCTCGACGCTACTCTCGCGACTCGCTCGACTCGCATTGCTACACGGGTGACGAGCACACCGCGCGTCACCGACGGCCAAGGTTGACTTGATGGGGCGGCCCGCGGGATCACGTCCGAATGCCGCTGCTCGGCGTGGAGAGAGCACCATTCCCGCGCGCCTCTGCGCCTTGGCGCTTCTCAGCGTGCTGATGACGGCGCGCGCGCAGCCCATGGCGGGGCCGCGGTGCGTGAACCGGTTTCCGGAGAAGCCGCTGTGCAAGTTCGTCGACGACCTCGCCGCGTCGCCACTCACCTTCCTCGACGCGTCGGCCGGCGAGACCATCAAACTCGGCGCGTACGACGTTTACCATGTGAGCCTTACGGGGAGGGAGAAGGAGAAGGAGGGTAGGGGGGCGGGTGACGTCGTACGACGTCTACCACGTGAGTCTGACGTGGGGGGGGTGAAGGGGGGGGGGAACGGGGGCGGATTGGGGAAGGGTGGGGGTGGTCGTCGTACAACGTTTACCAGGCGCGTGTGATTGCTGGGTGATGGTGGCGCGTCATATGATGATGCTACGCGGTGCTTCCAAGTTTTCACATTGAGTGAAGGTGGCGCGTGCGACGTGTGCCAGGCGAGTGCGATTGCTGAACAGGGCGAATTTGTGGGTGCCTGCAGACAGCTATTGGAGGTCGTGCGTCGTGCTGCAGGCAAGTGCAACGGCCGCTTGACGCGGTGTTCCGTACAATAAGCAGATCGTGGTGGAGCTATCTATATATGAGCGCGGTGCGACTCTTGGCTCGCGCGGCGCATTCGCGTTTTCGTCACAGTGATACTTTTCACCGTCAAATGATTTTTCCCCGTCACATGATTTTTCACCGTCACTCGGCGTGCTTTTCCCCATCGCTCCCATTCTCTTCCACCTCGCTCCATCACTCGCTCTCCCTCCTCCATTTCCTCTTTCCCACTCCTTCACCCCCCCTTCCCCCGGCCGGCGCAACGAGCAGAAGTTCCATCGCGACCTGCCCGACACCAAGGTGTATGCGTACGGCACCTCTCGCAACTCGGCGAGTTACCCGGGCCCCGTGCTCGTCGCGAAGCGCGGCGTTACCACCAAGGTGAGCGCGGTTTAGAGCGCCACCACACAGGTGAGCGTCGTCATCTATCAGTAGCTTTACGGTTGCTTGCACTTTGGATGGCTTTATTCGTCAATAGCTTCACAGTTGCTTGCGCTGCTTCACTTGACGACGTAATCTCGAGTACGAGCACGAGCGGCAGCATGAGCACGAGCGCGCGCGCTGTCGCGGAGAACTGCTGGTGATTGGAGCTCGAACACAAGCACGGGTACAGCGCTGCTGCATGGGGGGCTCGTCGCGCAAGCAGCTTCACGGTTGCACTGCTGGTCTGGTGCACCTGAGTCTAGCAATGTATTTCCGCCTCTTGTTCATGAACGTCGTGGGTAAACACTGTCTGTTGCCTTAATGAATATTTTCTACACGATCGCAGGTGGAATTCGCGAACAACATCAACGACAAGGAGCACATGTTCACCATCGACCCGACGCTTATGGCGCCCAAACCTAAAAACGGAGGCGTGCCAATCTGTGAGTTCGTGTTTCTGTTGTATGTATAGCTCCCGTTTCAGCTGTCAGCAACAATGCGCATCACTCGTTTCCCGTTTCCCGTTTGGAAGGCATTTCGACTTGTTACAAACAACCAACTTCGTAACAAGCGACCGCGTTGCAACGGTTCATGACTGTGGTGGACGATCCCTTATTAGCCAGTCACTGTGCGTTATTCCCTACCAAACTTCTTCGGAAGACAATTGGTACGAGGTCCGAATGCGTTCTTACAAGTTTCCAGTTTCTAATTGCTTGTTACTAACTAACCAGCGGCTCGATTCCAATGCTCCCCCCTGTACTATCATCCCAGCCGTTCATTTGCATGGCGCAGTGGTGCCGAGCCAATCCGACGGCCATCCTGAGGCGTGGTACACTGCCAGTGGGGAACACGGACCCACGTTCGAATCCCAGGAGCACACTTATCCGAACACGCAGCGCCCGACCATGCTGTGGTACCACGACCACACAGTTGGCATGACCGCGCCCAACGTTGCTTCCGGAATGGCTGGGCTGTACATTATTCGCGACCCACAGGGCGAGGAGAGGCGGCTGAAGAAATGGCTGCCACGTGACGGGCGTCAATTGCACCTCCTGATTGCTGACAGGCTGTTTTTCCCGAACGGATCGATGAACTATCCGAACGTGGGGTCTGTGCCCAAGGTTCACCCTAACTGGACGCCGGGTCTTAGAGGGGATACAATCGTTGTCAACGGCAAGGTGAGCTCTCATCTCATAAACTATACATCTTAAGAATAAAAAAGATGCAATGCTGTATTTTTCTTATTGAATCTAGAATGTCCCCCTAACGGTGGTTGTACGCTTTGGGATTCTGACACCCAACCCTCATACTCATCAAGAGTTGATGGTCCTCCTTATCACACCCTACCCCTCAGGTTTGGCCGTACCTCAAGGTTCGGCGAGCGATGCACCGGATCCGCATGGTGAATGCAGGCAACGCACGAACGTACAACCTGTCCTTCCAGTGCGCCGCTCGTGGCGATAACAACTTCAACCCCCCTCTTGGCGGACCCGTGCTGCCCTTCTACCTGGTATGTGGACCGTCCCGTTCTTTACCTCATGCGAAGAGCATAAAACAAGCTGTTATTGTACTGAGATATTTACGCACCTCTTGGCGGACATGTGCTGTCCTCTACCTGGTGCGACGGTGGGGTAGTCCAGTCCCCAAATTAGTCCTGTACAGAGAGGTAATCATAACAAAGTTTTTGGCATCGTGCTGTATCACTATCACAACAACCATATTGTGCAATGCCATTTCACGCTTCCCTGCTTCCATGATCTACCAGATCGGTTCCGACGGTGGCTACCTCGCCCGCCCGCTGCACCGCCTGTCAGTGCTCATGGCGCCGGGCGTGCGTCACGACCTCCTGGTCGACCTCAACGCCGCACCCAGCTGGTGCCGTGACGTCATCCTGGTCAACTCCGCCCCGCAGCCCTTCCCTGTGGGGCTGAACGCTGACTGGACTGGTTCACAGGCGTGGTGATGCGCTTCAAGATCAACGAGAAAACGTCCATCAGAGCACCCGTGCTGCCCAAGAGGCTCTCGGTGAGTGAGTGGGTGGGTGGGAGAGTGGGCGTGAGTGGGTGAGTGGGAGAGTGGGCGTGAGTGGGTGGGTGGGAGAGTGGGCGTGAGTGGGTGAGTGGGAGAGTGGGCGTGAGTGGGTGAGTGGGAGAGTGGGCGTGAGTGGGTGGGTGGGAGAGTGGGCGTGAGTGAGTGGGTGGGAGAGTGGGCGTGAGTGAGTGGGTGGGAGAGTGGGCGTGAGTGAGTGGGTGGGAGAGTGGGCGTGAGTGAGTGGGTGGGTGCGTGGGTGGGTGGGAGAGTGTGTGGGGCTGAACGCTGACTGGTTCACGGGCGTGGTGATGCGCTTCAAGATTAATGAGAAAACGTCCATCAGAGCACCCATGAGAGGGGGAGAGTGCGTGGGGGGGGAGTGCGTGGGAGAGTGTGTGGGAGCGAGTGCATGGGTGGGTGCGTGGGTGAGTGTGTGGGTGAGTGTGTGGGTGAGTGTGTGCAGGGTTGCGTGAACGAGGTGACTTTTGAGTCGACTCAATAGTCACTTTGTGGGGGAGAGTGCGTGGGAGAGTGTGTGGCAGAGAGTGTGTGGGAGAGTGTGTGGTTGGATGCGTCGTGGGTGAGTGTGTGGGTGAATGTGTGCAGGGTTGTGTGAACGAGGTGCAGAAGTAATGTTGACTGGTTCGCAGCACCATCATCTTTCTCTCCCAGCCGGGGAACATTACTTATCCACCATCATCTTCCCCAGCACCATCATCTTTCTCTCCCAGCCGGGGAAGCAGCGCTGGCTCTCAATATAGCCTTTCTGATGATAAGGCTCGTTTTATTGTCACCAAATCCACCGCACCACACCCCTCTGTTCTCCACTCCTTGCTCCCTTGCAGCACATCCCCCCAGTGAACATCTCCCAGGCAGTGAAGCAGCGCTGGCAGGCGATAACCATTCTAGTGGATAAGGAGCTGAACAAGACCACCTACATGCTGTTCAATGGCAAGGGATACGAGGACCCGGCCACTGAGACGCCCAAAGTGGTGAGCATAAAGTGCTTGCTTTGCTTTCAGGAGTGATTTTCGTGGTTTGGAGTATTCTATATAAGCTCCTAATTCTCTTTTCAGCAATTGACCGCTTGTATAAGCTTTTCTGTGACCTCCTAGTCTCGCCTTTTTCCTACTTTTTTTTCTCCTATTTCTCTATTTTCCTTTCATACTTTCTCCCAAACCCTTTCTTTTCTCTCCTTTTTGGTCTCCCCTCTAAATGCAGGGCACTTCGGAGCTTTGGCACATCATCAACCCGACATTCGAAACGCACCCCATCCACCTGCACCTCATACAGCACCGCCCCATCTCCCGCCGTCCGTTCAACTCCACCGCGTATCTCAACGGCTCTTGTTCTTTCGAGCCCTCCTCCCCTTTCAAGCCCAGCTGCTTCACGGGGCCGGCCAGGGCGGTGCCGCAGCATGAGAGGGGGTGGAAGGACAACACCGTTGCATTCCCGGATACTGTTCTCACCATCTTTGTGCCGTTCAAGGGGCAGGTGAGATGCGGTGCAGTGTGGTGGAGAGGGACGTTGTAGGGTCGTGGATGGGTGGCATGGTTTGTGCTCTCACAGGATGTGCGTGCTCAATATCCCAACCGCCTCTTCCCGTGCTCAATATCCCAACCGCCTCTTCCCGTGCTCAATATCCCAACCGCCTCTTCCCGTGCTCAATATCCCAACCGCCTCTTCCCGTGCTCTGTCCAGACCGCCTCTTCCCGTGCTTTGTCCCAACCGCCTCTTACCCTTGCGTGTCCCAACAGCCTCTTACCCTTGCGTGTCCCAACCGCCTCTTACCCTTGAAATTGCAGGATGGCAAGCCGTTCCCTTTCGATGCAACCAAGGGCCCGGGCTATGTGTGGCACTGCCACTCATTGGGACATGAGGACAACGACATGATGAGGCCGCTCCTTATGACCGCTTAGCCCTACCTACCAACAGGTGTGGCATGCACTGCGATGCCATGGGTTGGGGTTTGATATGCGTCAGCGCTGGGCCATATGGGTAATGATATGATGAGGCCGCTCCTCATGACCGCTTAGAACCGTTGACCTGACTAACGCTGCTGGTTGGATGGTGGCTTATGCAGTGAGGCTCTTGATCATGCAATGACTGTCCTCTGGATTTCTGTGTCAGGGGTTGGGTTTGTTTGGTTCAGGGTTAGTGTTTGTGGTGGGTGGTCTGTTTTTGGGAAAAGTGGAAATAAATAAGTGGGATTTACGTGTGCTCGCAAACAAAGCTTCATTATCTTATCTCTGCTACACTGCTTATTGCAGATGAGCATGTTCCTAAGTATAAAGATGTAAGAAACAGTGGAAGAGAACCATTGTGTGGTACTGAGGAGTGCCAGGCGAGGATGATTCATGAACTCTGGCATTTACTTGTTTTGACTAGTCAGATTGTTATTCACGCGCCCCCACTTTTGTTGGAAACAATAAGTCCTAAGTGCGCTTCTGTCGTATCAAAATCCAAGGTACCAAGCGAAGCAGTCCCAATCGAAGCATCGAGTCAACCTCGGAGGTTAGGGTAACCGCCTGGAGGTTACGAGAAAGTCAAAGGTCGCTGACCTTTGACTCGACAATTACAGCGCGACAGTTAAGGACACACAACTGACTCGTTACAGAGCAGTTGCCCGAGTCGCGCTATATCGAACCGCAACAGCAATACAGTTATCTATCTATTCCTTGTACTCTTATATAAATCCTTGTATTTGCTTGTTTAATTCAATCAACTTTGCTCTCACACACCAGTGCAAGGTCGGTTCAAATTCTTCACTAAACGCTTCCGCTATTACAACTACTTCACCTAGAGTTATCCCTTGCAAAGATCCTAAGGGGCTATCTCAGCCCAACATGGTATGAGAGCTGACAAGGGAAACTCTACTCTTTTTAATATCATTACAAGACATGGCAACAAACAAGGAAAGGAGCTCCCCTAATGGCTCCTCGGGCACTACTCCTACTCCACCGCCAGCCTCTGGCCTGCAGACAGAAGAAGGCACGGCAACAAGACCAAGAGGAACGTCAACCGAGACCCCCATGAACCACCCTTCGGACTTTGACCAGAACATGATGGAGAAATTTTTCTCCTTCATGTCCTTCTACGAACAACGCCAGCAGTCGGGACCTGCACAAACACACAACAGCAACAACGGAGCGACACCCATGAGTCTTGATGGGTCGTCATATGCGCGAGGAAACCAGCAGCAGCAACCTACCTTTGCTCCGTACGAGCGCGGGTCAATCAGCTTCGTGCCCCACCCGCAACCTTCACCTGGACAAGAAAGACCACTGGACGCACTTCAAGTTCAGTCGCAGTTTGCACACGTCTTAAAACTGCAAACGTCAAGACCCTTCGACGGCAAAGACTTCTTTACCTGGTCCTTTGAATTCGAGCTGATGATGGAGGGCGCGCAGATACTCGGCTTCTTCGACGGGTCCCTGCAGTATCCAGCCAACGGGACACAATATGAAAAGCAGCAGTATACGTATCAATCAATGATGGCGTATACAATCCTATTGAGGAATGTGACACCAACTCAGCAGCAGAACATTCGCTCTTACCGGACCTTCGGCAACTCGGCGGAGCTCGCGTACAGCCATCTGAAGAACCTGTATCAAGCAACAGACAGTGTAAACCAGAGCAGGTTAATGGCGCAGTTGACGACAGTCGAAATGAAACCAGGAGAAAAAGGACTGGCGTATATCAGCCGATGTCGCGAACTGCGCGACAAGCTGCTTCGATGCGGAGGGTCAATCTCTGAAGACGCCTTCGTGACAGTCATCATTGGTGGGCTTGGTCCTCAGTGGCGCGCCACCAAAGCCATTCTTCGAGCCCACGGAAGAATCTCTGAAGCTGCACTCTGCGCCGAAATACATGCCGAGCAGCAAGATATGGACCTGCAGGAAGAACGACACAGGAAGAAAACGACAGTATCAGAGTTCGCATTCCACACTCAACGACGACACAGCAATTATAACAACCGACAGCAGCAACCGAAGATAGTACCTCCCTTCTGCCACATCTGCAAGACTTCAGGGCACCCGCGCACACACTGCCCGAATCGTCAGCAATCAACGGCACCACAGCGACAACTTCGACCTTCAAGCTCCCAAATGGCTTCAACACAAGCAAGTGCGACGACCACTATTCAAGCTTCAACGACTTCACCCGGACAACCTGCACAAGGAGCAAGAAATATAATCAACTGCATGACGAAGATAACCGATTCATGTACAACCGAATCACCACCACACTACTCACCGGAAGAAGAGCTTGACAACAGAACGCCTCGCCGTGAGCTACTCCAGCCGAATCCAACGTACGCCGCCATCGCTCAAAGTGAACCGTCCGGCCAAGACACCTGGTTCTTGGACAGTTGCTGCGGGCAACACATGTGCTCGTCCGGGCGTTTCGTACAACGCGAACATCGACTCCAACGGGAAGTGATCATCACGGTTGCCAACAACCAAAACCTGCGCACACGAAGACAAGGAGTGGTACAGCTTCAGTCAAGAGAAACAAATGTCATACTGCACATGTCTAAGGTACTCATCGCTGAAGGAATCGGCTACAACTTACTGAGCGTTAGCCAGTTGATGGCGAAAGGAATTCATCTGGAAGCCGACAGCACGACCCAGGAGTTCAAACTTTACCACGGGAGAGGCGGTCTCTACATCGGGAAAGCAGTGCTGAAGAACAACGTCTTCGTCCTCGACTTCGTTCCTGACCTGGGCACTGCAGACAGCGACGCCATCGTGAATTTCACTGACTGGACACACCCTCCGGATCTCGACCCCGACTTCAGCCCAGAAGGCTTCTGGTACTCGCACACCATTCCTGAAGCAGAACGAACACGAGCATTAGCAACAATTCGACAATCGGCAGCAGTAACAACATCGGCAGCAGCAACAACATCAGCAGTAGTAACAACATCGGCAGCAGCAACAACATCAGCAGCAGTAACAACATCGGCAGCAGCAACAACATCAGCAGCAGCAGGAACAACGACACCAGTCACAGTCGACGAAGCACCACCAACACCCGCGAAACAGCTGAATCCGACTCAACGTGAAGTCCACCGAAGCGCCAACCTCGTCGCCAGCTTTTACTCCAACTCCGACGCATATCAGCGTTCACCTGGACACCGCGCCTCTGAAGAGATCTGGCACGCACGAACAGGACATCCAAGCAACACGGTTTTGAATAACACGATAAGAGCAGGAGTCCTTGACAAAGATTCTCTACTTCTACCCGATGGCAGAGAACTCCAGAAGGCACGAGGGACTTGCCTTATATGTCCCGAAGCTGACTTACCTCATCGACCGTTTGCTTCACATCACAACCCGAGCGCTCCAGCGTACGCACCACTCGAAAAAGTCTACAGCGACATCCTCTACAATCGCGAGCCAGGACAAGTCAACTACAACTACACCATCACCTTCATCGACGCCGCCACTCGATACGTCTGGCATCGCAACCTACCCAGCCGCGACATGGCGCTCGCAGCATTCGCCGCCTGGCTACCGATAGCAGAGAGAGAGTCTGGAACACAACTGAAAAAATTCCAGTCAGACGGAGGTGGCGAGTACACCTCTCACCGCTTCAAGCAGTTCTTGGCGGAAAGGGGGATCAAGCAACTCCTCTCCCTTCCTTACGCACATCAGCAGCAAGGTGTTGCAGAACGACTGAACAGGACCCTGCAGAACAGCATGCGCAAACTATTACGTGGCATGCGGCTACCCAACCACCAGTGGCCAGCAGCAATGGACCACGCTGTCATGCTACACAACTTGTTGTCGTCGTCGTCACTCCCGAACAACGCATCACCGCATCTGCTGTGGACAGGGAAGCAGGGCAGCACGAAAATGTTACGAGTTTTCGGGTGCATGGTACAGTACAGACCCCCAGAAGCACGAGCGGGAAGATTTTCGCAACGGGCACAGTGGGGACTACACCTCGGCATCGAGAAAAATTACAACGCATGGAAAATCTTCGACGTCCACACAAAGGAAACAGTAGCAGCACGTGACGTGATCTTCTACGAAAGACTCACCCTTCAGACGTACCTCGCCAACTTGCACGAGAATCGGGACCTCACCAGTGGTTTTCGTGGTGACCGAGCCTTCGCGTCAGCAGCGGACGAAGCAGACTGGGATGAACAGAACGTCGACAACGCCTCAGAAGAAGCCGGACCTCTCCCATACTGCTCCGTCGACGTGCCCATGGATGAGGATAATCCTCGCGACAGTAACAACGCCGAAATCTTCTACCGTTTCGCCGACGATGGTTACGTAACACCTGTGACAGTCAACACCAACGAAGCAGAAAGGGTAGGGCCAAATTTCATGCCTGACCCAGAAACGGGAGACGAAGCAGCTTATCCCGAGGATCCAGAACTCCCTCGATACTCACAGACTGGGCTGCAAATCCTCGGCCTCGTCACCGCAGTCCACGGGAACGCACGCAGCTCGCTTCCTAAGGAGCCTGCAACGGTTCAGCAGGCTCTGGGGGGGGAACACAGGGAGAAATGGCGTGAA